GCTCTGTAGTCCAAACGTTCCTGTTTGTATTTTCCAATCATATTTAAACCTATTCTCAGCTCTGGATACAGCAGCTGCAAGCTGATCCAGTTGCTAGAGTTTTGAATTTGATGCATTTAGAGTCAGTATAATATTCTAGATCTATCATTTCTGATATTTCTGACATCAATAAATCTTCTTTTAGCACCTTGCACAATGCTGTGATTGTATTGCTTTTGATATCTTAGTGTACTAGATACCCATGTGCTAAATCTTGATTTTAATGAGCAGCGTATCATATCGGCTATCCAAGTTTTTGAGGATGGTCATTTAAAATATCTCGTTACCTCATACTTGTATATTAAATTAATTGATTGTATTCCAAACTCTTCCCAAAGTTTTCTAATTGCTCTTTCTCTGTTGGCACCAGCTATTTCTCGTAGTGCTCTATCTGCTGTAATATGTATAGGCTTAATACGAGATTTGCTTATGCCAGAAAGTTTACCACCATAAGTGCCTATTGGAATCAGTACTAACTACAACATTTTTAGTCTGATGGCAGTAGGTATTAGTTGATTTTTTAAAAAATTATATGCGCCTGCATTGCATTTCAAACTTTATTTTTATTATAGTTAATGACTCATGTGCATTTCCACGTATCTATAAAAATTAATTCCAGATACGTGTATTTTTGCACTATGGAGACTGTATTTTTTTGCATTTGTAAAGTGCCAGATTGTGCATATTTGACTAGCAGTACACCACAATTTACAGCGTTTACTATCATTTTGTGGATGTCAGGTCATTTAGTGATAAAATCTAGTGCTATTTGTAGTTTATAAAATAATTCAGCTAGTACAACCGCATCATCCGCAGCGCTGTATAACAGTAGCATCTCAAACTGAGACAAAAAAACAATATATAAATATGCTTTTACTTAGGAAAGTGTGAGTTTTTTGACATATAAAATAATGATTTTATATTTATAGCAAAAAATACGACATGTTTGTATTGGCTCTAGTATCTAAATCAAAATTCTAGTAGAGTTTGCTTTATAATTATATTTTAGTATTTTTTTTCTAGAATAATCTATTTATAGGGCCAGCTTAGCCAAAATTCTTTAATTATAAACTGGTTAATGTGAATAATAAACCCTGAAACCAATTAACCTCTGTCTATGTGATCTGCTATAGCTTTTGACAAAATAATATAAGATAATAGCTTTATCACAATAAAGCTATTTGGAGTATTATAGTATAATAGTTGCTACTTTTAGCAACATTCCTAGTGTAGAAATGTGTTTACATTGCATTCTTACAAATAACCTATTAACAGCATTTTAATTATTTAACCTTTATTTTAAAAAATATTTAAACGCTTACTTTTTCTTTATAAAAAAATAAGCTTATCAA